TTCAAATAACTTTGGAAAATATATATATTTGTTTAACAACTGCCGTTTGGTATTTTTAGCAACTCAGATTTTTAACAAGAAATGATATCGAGTATTAATATATTTTTCAAATATACTGAAAAAAAAAACCGAACCGTGGTAAATTGAAGTAACGTAAAAAGGTAAATATAAAATATAAATATTATATTCTTTAATTAATTTTTAGAAGGACACAGTAATAACATAATATAAAATATTAAGTGACTAAAATACTCCAAAAAATCACCACAAAATAAATAAATAAGTTTCGATCGATCTGTAAAATAAAAAATTTGGAGGACATAATATGAAGTTCTCACAGAAGTGAGTGGGGAGCCTGTGCCCAATAGTTGGACGGAAAAATACAAACTGCTTTATATTTTCCTTAAAACATATTGGCGTTCAGGCACAGAATAAATGAATCACGCAAATTGATAGCTTCGTAGCCCACAAGCCACTTGTGGTTAGTTTCGATTCCCGCACAGGGCAAGAGTGATTTTCTACCGATTTCAAAAAGGAGGAGGTACTCAACTCGACTGTATGTTCTTTTTTTATGTGTGTTACCTCATAACTTTTTTCTGGGTGAACCGTGTTCGATGATTCTTTTTTTATTTGAAAGCTAGTGCTTCTCATGTGGTCCCATTTAAATCTTTTTGATCAAGGTCTGACCAATATTTTTTGAGTTATGCTCAATAATTTATATTGAAGATGGTTGTACAAAATATTTAATTTTACCACTTTTTTAAGTTGCAAGTTATGATTTTTAGCATAAAAATCTAAAAACTAGTAGTAGTAGCTCAAGGATTGAAATGAAGAAGCAGGCTAACATACGGTGCACGCCCCGGTGTCACCAATGAAATTGTTAATTGCAATTTTTAGTGCTATTTTTCTTTTAATTTTCGAGGAGAGGAATCCTTTTCACTAATAAAATTAATCAAGTCACGTAACAATTTAGCTACCTTTATTAACTTCTCGTTTTATTTTCTTCCCCAGAATGCAAACAAGTGATTTGCAACAAGGAGCTGACGCGCTAGAATTCACTTGCTATGTAGGAAACAGAATATATGAGACGAGCCCCGAGTTTTCGATTAGCGGGTGCGCTACTTTCCAAGTGATGGCAATTAATGTGGAAGGCGGCTGTACGAACGATGTTCTGATCTTTGTCAGGTTTTTTAAAAACTGCCAAGAAGACGGTTTGACCTACTCCATCACTGTATCCAGCAGTAAATTAACCATTGTAGCAAAAAGATTTCTGTCTGATGACGGTACTTATCATTTGCTTAGGGAGTATCATAGTCCACTGCAGGTGTTCGACATCTCGGTCATCATGGAGATAGTACATGTCAGCTCATTCGAAGGGCTTCACGATGATACTGAACTAACCGACTTTGAGCTCCGCGGAGAGGATGGATCAGTTAAAGTACATAAAGCAGTCCTTGCAGCTTCTAGCGACGTATTAAGGCGAATGCTCAGCGGCAGCTGGCGAGAGATTGCAGAAAGTCACGTCGACATCCCAGGCACTTCGACACAGACGTTGCAGCACCTAAAAGATTACATATATTTGCACACGGTGCCCGATACTGGCTTGGAGCAGATTCTGCTTCTAGCTTCGTGTTACATGATACCAGGCTTAGAGCAGAAATGTGTTAATAAATTGATGAATAGCTTGACAGCGCAGAACGCGGGCGACCTGCAAGAGTTCGCGGTGAAACACAAAGTGAGCAGGCTTGTTTTGGCCATTCGTGTCTGCGTCCAGAGTGGGTGGGTAGAAGTTTCGAATATGCATCAACACTTTTTGAATTATCAAGATAATAATTGTGAATAATGATTATAATCCACGTCATTTGCGTATATTATAGTATGGAGTCCATACTATAATATACGGTAAGCATATTTTCATCACATCTCTTAAACTAAGAGACGAGGTGGATCGAAAAATATGCTTAAATCATGATCAGCATTGTTAACTGATCCACCTGTAAAATAATTAAAATAAATAATATTTGTCCATCATGAACACCTTGAATATACCGTCTACGAATTATATCTTCCCTAAGCTTCTTATTGCTGTTGGAAATGTTGACCCTTGATCACAACTAAGACCTAAAAATAGTTAGTACTACTTGGTACACCATCTGTTTTAAAATGTATTGAAGCTCTGCTGCTGATACTGTCTTCACAGAAATAAAATATGGGTTGACTGGTAGAGAATGCCACAAGGCATTAAGTCCGCCCTTTGTATCCTTTTAGATTAAGGAATGCAATAAAGAATAAATAAATAAATAAATAAAAATAAAATACTACTCTATCAGCCATGGATAGCATATTTCTCTTAGCATAAAAACTAAAGCGTGATCACAATATTTCAATTTTCTCTCTCCAGCTATAACTACGAACCCATTAGATTAGGTTGTTCGGAAAGTAACTTAGTTTTTTCCCAACAGAGAAGTCTTTTTTTTCACAGCCAAATTCACTTTGGTTAGTTATGTACCATTATATATCTTTGATAGCTCATATATTAAGGCATGCTTTTTTTTAATAGAAGAGGGGGCAAACGAGCATGCGGCTCACTTGATGGTAAGTGAGTACCACCGCCCATGAACAACTGCAACACCAGGGAGGGAATCGCAGATGCGTTGCTGGCCTTTTAAAACGGAGTAGGCTCTTTTCTTGAAGGTCCCTAAGTCGTATCGGTCCGCAAAAATCGCTGGTGGTAATCGATTCCACAAGGAAGTTGTGCGAGGGAGAAAACTTCTTCTAAATCGCACAGTGGTGGACCGCCAATCATCCAGATGGTATGGATGGTAACGCGAGTTTTGTCGCATGTGCGATGGTGAAATTGAGCGGCTGGAATTAGTCCGAACAATTCCTCAGAGCTCTCCCCGTGATAGATGCGATAAAATACGCAAAGAAATGCAACATCTCTACGCAGTGCCAGTGTATCGAGCCGATCAGAAAGAACTCGGTCGTCGACGATTCGAACCGCTCTGCGCTGGATGCGGTCAAGTAGAAGGAGCTGGCACTGGGGTGCCCCGGCCCAGAGATGAGAACAGTATTCCATGTGAGGTCGAACTTGCGCTTTGTAAAGTTGCAAGCGATGTGCCGGTATGAAATACTGTCTCGCTCTGCTGAGCTCGCTAAGCTTTTTAGAGGCCAATTTGGCCTTCCCTTCCAAGTGACCACGAAACTGGACACTATTCGATTCGATATGTCGACGCCAAGGATTCTGATGCTAGCTGAGGCAACAAGGGGAGTGCCTTGAAACTGAGGAGATACGACAAAGGGGTTCTTTTTACCGGTAAACGCACAAACTTGTGTTTTCTGGGGATTGAACTGGACTAGATTTAGTCGCCCCCAATCCGAGACTTTGTTAAGCAAAGACTCGACTTCAGACACAAGTTTGTCCCGGTACTCGGCGACGTTTTCCCAAGAAATATTGGCACGGCCGTTATATAAGGCATCACCAGTGCTGTCGTCTGCATAGCAATGAATGCTACCAGTTTGCAACCTATCGTTGATATGCAGCAGAAACAGCGTTGGTGATAGCACGCAGCCTTGTGGAACACCAGCGTTGATAGGCTTGAAATCAGAGCATGCACCGTCTACAATGACTTTGATGCTCCGATCAGCAAGGAAACTGGTGATCCATTTGCACAATTTCTCAGGAAGCCCATAGGAAGGAAGCTTCGAAAGAAGCGCTTTGTGCCAGACCCGATAGAAGGCCTTCGCTATGTCCAAACTAACGGCCAATGCCTCCCCCTTGGACTCTACTGCCTCCGCCCATCTATGAGTCAGATAGACCAGAAGATCACCAGCTGATCGACCCCGACGAAAACCGTACTGGCGATCACTAATCATCTGGTGAACCTCAAGGTACCTCATGAACTGGCAGTTTATAATGGATTCCATTATTTTGGAGAACAAGGAGGTGATGCCGATAGGCCAGTAGTTGGACGGGTTTGAGCGGTCGCTTTTTTTAGGGATCGGGTGGACCAAAGCTGTCTTCCATGAATTCGGGACTACGCCTTGGGAGTAGGAGTACCGGAAAAGGTGCGTTAAAACTGGTGCCAACTCCGGAGCACACGTCTTCAGCACAATGGGATGGACTCCATCGGGCCCACTCGACTTGCTGACGTCCAGGGAGAAGAGTGCTTTGCGAACCGAGCGCTGTGTAAACCGCACATCCGGCATGGAGCACTCACATCGCGGGATGGTCGGCAGTGTGTTCCCCCCGTCGTCTAGTTTTTGGTGAATGCTTGTGAAAATGTTCGATTGATTATTAGCTAGAGTGATTATTTATGTTGCAATTTATGATTTTTAGCGTAAAAATCTAAAAACCTTGCTAGCTATATTTACGTGGTAGAGCCATGCTGCAGCTATATTAGTAGTATAGTTGTAGCACGAATGGGTCGGCTCGACCGGAGAAGGACCATGCTCTCACAGAATACCAGCGTAAACTGCTGTTTTTCGTATGGTGAGTGTAGAGAACCGGAGACCCTTTTTACTGGAAAAGAGGCATTCCATCTTAGTCCTTACGGGTGATAACGCATCTGCATTTTGATACGCAAACGAGTATAGATATAGATGTCTATGGGCCACAGCAACCACTTACCATCAGGTGGACTGTGTGCTCGTTTGTAACCCTATCCTATAAAAAAAGCTCAAGGATTGTGGTGAAGAAGCACGCTAACATACGGTGCACGCCTCGGTGTCGCCAATGAAATTGTTAATTGCAATTTTTAGTGCTATTTTTTTAATTTTCCTTCAAATTTTCGGGACGAAATATCTTTTAAATGTTACTAGAAAAATATTTCAAAGACATGTGATCTCCGCACGCGATGATGCAGCGCATTGGACTCCTCCATGCCCCAAAATCATTTGTCTCCAAAGAAAGGAGGAATCCTTTTCACTAATAAAATGTATCAAGTCACATAAAAATTTAGCTACCTTTATTAACTTCTCGTTTTATTTTCTTCCCCAGAATGCAAATACGTGATTTAGTACAACGGGGTAACACACTACAATTCAATTGCAATGTAGGAAACAGAATATATGAGGTGAGCCCCGAGTTTTCGATTAGCGGGTTTACCTTCCATATAATGGCAATTAATGTGAAAGACGTTACGAACAATGTTCTGATCCTTGTCAGGTTTTTTAAAAACTGCCTAGAAGACGACTTGACCTACTCCATCACTATATCCAGCAATAAATTATCCATTGCAGCAAAAAGATTTCTGTCTGATTATAATTATCATTTGATTAAGGAGGATAATCAAGAGCGGGTGTTCGACATCTCGGTCGTCATGGATACAGTACACGTCAGCTCATTCAAAGCGCTTCACGATGATACTGAACTAACCGACTTTGAGCTCCGCGGAGAGGATGGATCAGTGAAAGTACATAAAGCAGTCCTTGCAGCTTCTAGCGACGTATTAAGGCGAATGCTCAGCGGCTACTGGCGAGAGACTACAGAAGGTCACCTAGACGTCCCAGGCACTTCGACACAGACGTTGCAGCACCTAAAAGATTACATATATTTGCGCAAGCTGCCCTATACTGGCTTGGAGCAGATCCTGCTTCTTGCTTCTTATTACATGATACCAGGCTTAGAGCAGAAATGTGTGAATGAATTGATGAATCGCTTGACAGCGCAGGACACGTTTGATCTACTTGAGTTCGCGGTGAAACACAAAATTACCAGGCTTGTTCTGGCCATTCTTGACTGCGTCCAGAGTCGGTGGGTGAAAGTTACGGATATACGTAAACACTTTTTGAATTATTAAGAAAATAATTGTGAATAATGATTATAATCCGCGTCATTTGTCTCTGTCACTCTTGCTACATGCGTGAAACAATTACCCACAATCGCGAGGTGCCCTAGGGATGCAACGCAGTCGGGGCTAGCCATGATGCAAAAGCGTTCTAGGCGATTAAATGTTAAAAAAAATTATCGCTGTTTACGTGAATAGTTTTTTGTAAATACTTGTTGAAAAACTCGTCGAAATACTTTTTGTTTAGTGTTTAGTATATTTAATTGTAGGATAAAATACATAGTTGAAAAAGTTTTAATGCATTTTAAGAATAATATACATGTATATATATTTATGGGTGTTAATAAAGAATATACACATAACATATATTTTATAAATTGTATTGGCAAAACGTCGTTCCTATTATAATTATTGCGTGGATGGATTGGTTAATGAGCAAACAAAAGGATTCAGTTATAAATTATAAATACCGAAGGATAAGGTGAATTTTATTTTATTAGATAGGTACTTACAGCGAAAAAATAATTACGTAATAATGTGACAACAGAAGTAATACCTAGGTACTTTATTAAAAAACTTAGTTGAAATTAACTTCACTACCCAAGTACCTACTAACATACCTATACTTGACTTTTGTAATTAAAATATTTTAAGTTATAATAACACATCATTCATCATCATTACAGCCCTTCACAAGTCCACTGCTGAACATAGGCCTCCCCCAAAGAATGCCACAAAACACGGTCCTGAGCCACCTGCATCCATCGACTTCCTGCATGTCTTACCAGGTCGTCACTCCATCTCGTGGGGGGACGCCCTACACTTCGCCTACCGGTACGAGGCTGCCACTCGAGAACCTTTCTTCCCCATCGGTTGTCGGTTCTTCGAGCTATATGGCCGGCCCACTGCCACTTCAGCTTACTAATCCGTTGGGCTATGTCGGTCACTCTGGTTCTACTGCGGATATCCTCATTCCTAAGTTTATCACGCAGAGAAACTCCGAGCATAGCCCTCTCCATAGCTCGCTGAGCGACCTTGAGCTTCCTCATACGGCCAGCAGTGAAGGACCACGTCTCAGTTCCGTAAGTCATCACTGGCAACACGCACTGGTTGTACAATTTCGTTTTAAGGTTTTGAGGTATGTCTGACGAGAAGATGTGTCGTAGCTTCCCGAACGCTGCCCAGCCGAGTTGAATCCGTCGATTGACCTCTCGGTCGAAGTTGGACTTACCCAGTCGGACTATTTGTCCCAGGTAAACATACTCGTCAACAACTTCGAGCTTAGTGTTCCCAACAACTATCGGCATAGGTGTGACATGGACATTAAACATGATCTTAGTTTTGTCCATGTTCATCTTAAGACCTATCCGTTGGGAAACACTATTGAGGTCATTGAGCATAGTGCTTAGGTCCTCCAGCGATTCTGCCATAAGGACTATATCGTCGGCAAATCGAAGGTGAGTGATGTACTCGCCATTGATGTTGATACCGTATCCTTTCCAGTCCAGAAGCTTGAAAACGTCTTCCAATGCAGCGGTGAAGAGTTTCTGGGATATGACGTCACCCTGTCTTACACCTCTCTGCAATTGGATAGGTTTCGTACTCTGGTTCTGTACTCGGATATCCATCGTAGCCCTACTGTACAAGCACTTCAACACTTCGATATACCGACAGTCAACTTGGCACCGCTGAAGGGACTGCAGCACCGCCCAAATTTCGACGGAATCAAAGGCTTTCTCATAGTCCACATACGCCAGACATAGTGGCAAATTGTACTCTTCGGACTTCTGTACAACTTGCCGAAGGGTATGTATGTGGTCTATGGTGCTAAAGCCTTTTCGGAAACCGGCTTGTTCGGGAGGCTGGAAGTCGTCAAGTCTGCGCGCGAGACGATTCGTAATGACTCTCGAAAACAGCACGTAGACGCGGCTCAGAAGGGAAATCGGTCTGTAGTTCTTCAAGAGAGCGTTGTCACCTATCTTGAAGAACAAGACCACCGCACTTCTGCTCCACGCCTCCGGTGTAATGCCACCATGGAGGACGGAATTAAAGAGCTTCTGAAGGACTTCAAGTACCGGTCTTCCACCCGCTTTCAGAAGCTCCGCTGTAATTCCATCCTCGCCTGGGGCCTTACCGTTTTTAAGGTGCTGGAGAGCCATCCTAATCTCGCTCAGACTGACATCCGGGATATCTTCGGAATAGTGTCGGATGAGACTCGCTCTTGGATCGTTACTCACACTTGCGTGTGGCTCCAACGATGATGTGTACAGCTGCCCATAGAACCTCTCAATCTCACTCAAAATCTCAGGTGTCCCGGAAACGATGCTGCCACATTCTGTCTTCAGCTTTGACAGTTGGCTCTTTCTGGCAGACAGATCTCTGGCAAAGACTTTGGAGCCTTGGTTCCGCTCGATCGCTTCTTCAATACGAGCTGTATTGAAGTTGCGTAAGTCCCGCCGCATGCATTTGGAGATCTGTCTGTTCAGATGCCTGTATGCTGTCAAGTCTGTTGAAGAATGTAGTCTCCCGTCTAACAGCCATGAGATTAAGAGTGTGATCGGAGAGTTTTTGTGTTCTTCTGCGGCGGGTTTTGCAGAACTTAGCTCCAACCGCATGGACAGTTTCCACGAGCTTGTCATTCATATCGTCCACTTCATTGCAGTCTTCTAGGCACTGAAAACGGTTTTGTAACTCGAGCTGAAAGGTTTCGGGACTTTGAAACAGAGCACGAGGGGGACGGAGCGTTGACTTCATTAGACGAGACCTCTCCAACTTAACGTTTAGGTTCAGTGTGCCTCTAACCATTCGGTGATCGCTACCAGTTTTCACCCTCGCGATCACGGAGACATCACTGAACAGTTGTCGTCTGGTCGTCATAATGAAGTCAATCTCATTTTTTGTGGAACCGTCGGGGCTCGACCAGGTCCACTTCCTGTGGGGCCGCTTCTGGAAGAAAGAGTTCATCATAAAGAGTCCCTCTTTCTCCATGAAGTCGGCCAGCTGCTGGCCCCTTGGGTTCCGTTGCCCTATTCCAAATTTCCCTACTTTCAGCTCACCGTTCTCTCTTGTGCCTAGTTTTGCATTGAAGTCTCCCATTAACACCGTATATTGGGTTTTGGAGGAATGCATGGCTCTAGAGATATCCTCATACATTTCCTCCACCTCCTCATCGGGGTGTGCCGAGGTTGGTGCGTAAACCTGTATAACCTTCAGCGAATACCGTTTGGTGGTTCTGAGTATAAGGTACGCAACCCTCGTCGACACACTCCCGATTTTTACAACGTTGTTAACGAGAGACTTGTGGACGATAAATCCGACACCTCCTTGGGACAGATGGTCGCCCTCCCGGTGATAGAGCAAGTTGCCGGATTCGAGGATTACCGTGTCCTCCCCCTCTCTTCGGACTTCAGATAATCCTATAATATGCCAGCGCAACTTGTCTATCTCTTCTTCCAGCTCCACGATCTTCTCGTCAGTCCTCAGGGTGCGTGCGTTGTACGTTGCCAGGTCGAGTCGTCTAAGGTGGCAACCGAACCTCCACCGGAGATTCTTAGCACCCCCTGCCCCGCCGTTACCATGGTCGCCACCGTAACCAGGAATAGCGGGGCCGCCGCTATTCCTGGCTACGGTGGTATAATAACACAAAATACTGTAATTAAAACTTTGTTTAGAAGATTTTTTAACTAAGTAGAATACGATCACATTTCTGTTAGGAATCATAGTTCGGGTTTATTTGTTGTTTACACTATCTACCTATTTTTTTCCTAGCCAAACATCGCGATTCCTGACGAATGGCCTTGCAAGTTGCGTGCGTTGGGCATCACAGAACTCACATAGTAGCGGAAATATGGTCGATCACAGTCAGAATAGATACTTTACCTAAGTGACATACTTTCCAGTTCACAATGTATTTTTTTACTCTTTATTAACAGCCCTTAGTAACCACGGAAAGTCAGTCGTGACATAGGAAGGGAAAAAGATGCAAAGTAATAAGGTCACTCGCGCGGAGCGATAGTTTTATTTAGCTTGCTTGCGCGATTTATCTGATTAATAATAATTATGTAGGCTATTAAAACGTTAACAGTCAACAAGCAGTCAACATCAAAGGAGTGCAACTTCTGTACGTAGTACTATTATTTATTCTGTGATATAGATACAGTAGTGTAAAAAATTATTCCAATTTTGTTGTGTGAAATTATTCTCAAAATTATTTAAATAAAAGGATATTATTCGTATTAGAAATTACTCTGAAGGTTAATTGTTAAAAATAATAAAAGTGTGAGAGCGGATGTTTAACTTGCTCTCTTGCTTACGCAATTAATCATTATCAGGAATGAGACAGCGTACAGCACTACATATTCAGTATAGAGCAAACATGAGCGGAAGATTATTAGCGCTCATTGGCGTAGTTTTTACAGGGGAAGGAAGGGAGCCGGACTGATCAAGAAATATATTGAATAAAACTAATTTTACTGATTTTTTCGCGTTTAATAAATTTATTTATCTTATTTTTATTTATTCCCGAGGTTTCGGGTGTTTTTCAGCACCCGTGTTCACGGGGAACTGAGGTGATTGACTTCCTGATGTCAGAGTTAACCTGGAGTACCTTCAGCTTTTTTAATTATTAATTTTGGTCCGATCTACGCAGAATGAACCTACTGTGTCTTGAAGTCTTGCAGTGGTGTGCTTGGGTTTAGTTTTAATTTTATTAATTACAGGATCCCAAGCAGGTGGTAGTACCCTGGCTCCCTCTCTATTGAAATTAGGATGTTTTTTAATTTCAATAGCCTCGCGTATCATCCTTGGCAGGAATCGATGTTCTTTCGCGAGAATTTGTGGTTTATCGAATCTAATGTAATGATGATAATAAATTACAAATTCTCGCGAAAGAACATCGATTCCTATCAGTTTAGCTCTTAGTAAGGAACAACAGAACGTTTTTCTTACTACGCGACAAGAATTATTGCTTAATAAGGGAAATAACACTATTCACAATTTTGATACTGATCAGG